CACCGAAAGGGGCTTCACACTTTCAGCCCATTTGGGAATTGAGCCCGAGTGTTTTGAAATGACGAGTGGACGCTTTAACCACATCCGCAGAACTGGAAATTGGCTTACAGTAACGTAAAATAACCTTTACTCATTCGTTGGCGAGTGTTTACTAGAAGATGAAACTGACGAACATTCCTATCATGTAAAAGCTACTGGTAGGTTTACGCTTTTGGAGTGCATATATGGTGATAACACCACACACTTCACATGGTTGTGTCGAATCTACACACACGTCCATCGAAGCTACACCGTATGATATGATATATCAATCTAAACAGAAGCCTTCTGACATCCTATAGCAGGGATAGGGAAATCTCCATGTAAGGGAGACAGATTATTAGAATGAATGACATGACCGGATACAAATTGTCCTCCCATGGCGAGTTATGGAGATATTTCAGGATAGGTTACTGTTAGTGTATGTGTTTCCAGTGATGTACTGCTAGCCTGAACTGTTAGTCGACAGGTGGCCAACATTTTAATAGCTATGGTAGTTCCACAATTTAGTGAGATTAATAGTGAGTGAGTTTAGTTTTACGCCGCACTCAGCAATATTCCAGCCATATGGCGGTGGTCTGTAATAATCGAGCGTTCAACAGCATGAGCATCGATCTACGCAATTGGGATACGATGACATGTGTCAACCAAGTCAGCGAGCCTGACCACAAGATCCCGTTAGTCGCCTCTTACGACAAGCATGGGTTACTGAAGATCAATTCAAACCCGGATCTTCACCGGTCGTGTGAGATTAATAAGTGACTGAAAAATGTGATATGAATCAATCTTCCATGAGATATCGCGACGGTTGCAGTGATGTTTAACGAGTTCTCGTGCCACATCCAGGTGAAGCCAGGGCAAACACGTACGGCTTGTGCTCTTTCCATTTCAGTTATCAACAAGTTCATGTTTGACGTTCAACTTCACGATACGAGCTATTCGTGTACTTTCCCGAGCTATCAACTAGTTCGTATTTGACGTTAAATTTCACGATATGAGCTATTTGTGTATATTAGACGAGTTATCAAGTTATTCCTACTTTACGACGCTATAATATAAGATCAGTAGTCTTCAACAGGATTCATTGCGATCCTCAATAACGTCAATGCCCCGAAGATAAACATGAAGATAAGCACGTCAACATTTGACGTTTTCTGACGTCCATGAAGCGCTTTCGCTTTTTGCGAATACCTGGTATAATCGCTATTTGAAAATGATTCCAAACATATAATTATGACAGTCGGACAGATTTCTCAAGATTATGGAAAATAATGGTTCTTTGAAGCTTTGTGCCTGTAATATACTTAAAATGCATTATGTTTTATAGAATCTTTAGTGCATTTGAGTACATAAATGTTCAGTAGGTTTTTGTGTGTTTGTTGGTCAACGCCAAACTCAGCAGTATTCAAACTAGATAACATAATCGACTGTACATAATCGACAACCCATTGGTTGAGATCATGAGCTGGATCTACGCAACTGGAATACGATAGTTGGTTGATACAAGTTATTATACCCTCACCAAGTCAACAAGTCGGACTTCCCGATCCCGTTTGCCCTCTCTCAAGGTAAGCCAGAGTTGCAATCTTAGAGCAATCTTCAATCTTCACGGGTACACTCAGTTTTTAAGTTGTGCGACTGGAGATACAAATAACTTATCAAATAGTAATTGGAAACAGAACAATTTACCTTGGGTTTTCATCAAAGATGATCTAATATTAATGCATCATGGGAAACGTTTGGAAAAATATATGAAGTATATAACAAAATAGTCGCTTCCTCACAGTAACGATGATTATCGTCGAGGCACTTGCGATGGAAACAATCTCCACTATGCAATCATGGTTGTCACAGAATAATCATTGAAGTAGTCCAGCGCTTTGAGATATGGTATTTTCTTTCACCGCCAACCGATCAGCATGCGTTCCGACACAATTATCATATCCCTTGCGAATATAACAAGGGTTGCAGTTGGAACGCTTGAAAAAGTTCGCATTCACGTCGACATTTCAATCTTCAACATTCAATTGTACTCATTTAGAGTCACTTTATCCTCTCGCGGCTTTTACATTTAAAAAAATAGTTCAATTTATCTTGCATAACCTTTAAACATGTGGTTGACACAGGGACCGTGTTTTATAACTGACGTGATGCAGTTTAGTTTTACGCAAATAATCCAGCAATATCCAAACATGTTCCCACTGATACATTGAGTTGTCCCGGGTCTTCATCGAGCCAATTTAAACCACTAGGCTGTACCGCCTGTTTTATAAACGTGATGGAAGGAAACTGACTGAATTCTGAGTTCCCACTGATAAGAGTTGCTTTTATCCCTATATTCCACACAATATTCCGGCGGGGACACCAGAAATGGGTTTTACGTTGCTTTTAGCATTTCCAGCAATATCACGTGGACTTATGTGCCCATGTGGGGAATCGAACCCGGGCCTTCGGCGTGACGAGCCAACGCTTTAACCACTAGGCTACCCCACCGCCCCTAAACCACAAGATAGCGACGGAGCAGGATATAGATAACTGAATTAATGGGGGGGGGTGGGGGGGTGTTGTTATTGATGCTTAATGCCGAACCCGGAAAAATTCCCAGGTTTATAATCGTGTCTGAGCCAGACAATCAGTGCAACGATTATTGAGTGAGTTGGCATCACTGAGTGAGTGAGTTAGGTTTTACGCCGCACTCAGCAATATTCCAGCTATATGGCGGCGGTCTGTAAATAATCGAGTCAATCGATTGTACCAGACAATCCAGTGTTCAACAGCATGAGCATCGATTTACGCAATTGGGAACCGATGCCCTGTGTCAACCAAGTCAGAGGGCCTGACCACTCGATCCCGTTAGTCGCCTCCTACGACAAGCAGGGATTACTGATGGCCCAAACTAACCAAGGTATTCACGGTTAATTGAGGGGAGGGGAGGGGAGACAACAGACAACACCATTGTGAAAAAATGGAATGCTCACATTGTTCGGAGAGGGTGTGAAACAGGAACAAAAGTTTGTATGATGTATAGATGGAACTACGCAGCCAATCAAATGGAAGCATACACCCATATTTGACAGTGGGTAAAATGGTTATTGGGTGGCGACGTATTTGATGCGGTGTAACAGTCATTTTGTTTCTTCAGTGAGGGAGTGAGTATGGTTTTTCTAGGACGAGTGATAGGACACATCGTGCACGTGCCCTTGGTAATTTCTTACGTGAAGAGGCGGTAGCTACTCACCACTCCTGATCTCAATCCCATAGAGTAGGTGTGGGACATAATGGGTCGCAGAATGCGCAAGAGTGAATGCGTGAATTGGGTTTTACGCCGCTTATAAATAGCAATATTCCAGCAATATCATGAAATGGGCTTCACACATTGTACCAATGTGGGGAATCGAACCTGGGCCCCGTTCCTCAAGGCCATCCTAGCGCTAAGGTGATCGTAACTCCAATACTTTAACATAGACTTACGACTGTCGTAGCGCTACGATCGCCTTGAGGAACGGGGCCCTGGGTCTTTAGGGTGACGAGCGGATGCTTTAACCACCTCCCATAGTATTAATTCAGTGTTTTGGCGTGTTTTGGTTGCCTCGTTACGGTAGCATAAGGTATACTTCATTTACCTGGCAGTTTTGTGAGCGCGTTTGTCTTAATCCCACTGACAGTATTTTGTTTCCATCACTGTAACATCTTATGTTGGGAATGAAGAACACCATGGCCTGGGAAGGAACAGAAGAGAAGGAATATAGAGAGAGCCAAAGCGAGGAAATGAGAGATGAAAGAAAATCATTCCATGTCGCTTTGTATTGTAGTAATGTAAAATTGTGATCTCAGAGTGGGAGGAAAGCCCAGAGTGATCGAACCCACACCCTCAGAGTCAGGCATCTATAATCTCCAGCACACAAAAACAGCCATCTAACCCGCTCAGCCACCACTAGTGGAAGTCGCGGATGGGAAGCAACCCAACAAAATTACTAGAATCTGTACTTTACTTAGACAGACTGACTGAGTTTGGTTTTACGCCGCTTTTAGCAATATTCCAGCAACATCATGGCGGGGGACACCAGAAATGGGCTTCACACCCTGTACCCATGTGGGGGATTCGAACCCGGGTCTTCGGCGTGACGAACCAACTCTTTAACCACTAGGCTACCCCACCACCCCATTTTACTTAGAAAGTGTATCCCAAATATATGATATGTTACATTTGATCACTTTCTAAAAGGCAATGTGTAATCATCCCGTATTGTAGTGATGTCAGGTTCGAAAGACGGTGAATGCGGTGAACTGCCAAGAGAGTGAATGCGGTGTATTCCAGCTATATCACCCATGGTGACACCACAAATGGGTTTCGCCTAATGTACGAATATAGGGATTCGAACCCGGATGACGAGCGAACGCTTTAACCACGAGGCTACCCCTGTCAAGGTGATGAGATCGGGGGAGAGGTTAGTACTATTCCCAAATATTACAGACACCGTGCTCACTGGTGTGACCAGATGATGAAGGCGAACGAGGTAATTGAAAATTATTGATTTGTGTTACTATTCCAAGCGATGATAGAGAGAAAGCGGAAGAGAAGAACGTGCAAGTATATGGTAAAGCTTTGGGATTTGTCACCCGCCGTTACGATGGCTGTGACGAACAAATGATGCAAAAACATCACCACAAAAAGCTACAGTCACGACGGTTGAAGAATCAAGAAGTAAGAGAAGGTTCGTGTATGCCTTGAGTGAGAGAAGAAGGTTGCAGTAACGGTGAATGTGAGGAAAAAACTATGCAAATAGATCCCAACAAAAAGATACAGGCAAGACGCTTCGTGGTTCAAGTGGTGATAGAAGACTTCTGTATGTTGTGAGTGAGAGAAGGAGGTTTGCGGATGCAGCGAGTGAGAGAAGGACGTAAGTGTGTGCTTGGATACATCAGCTAATATAGAACACAGAGAAGCCGTTTCCACCTACCTGCTCATGGTGGTACTGGTCGTCTGGTATATCCAAACAGCTGTGTCTGCACACACACATACACACGCACCGCCCGAGACGATCGTGCTGCACGCACGCTGTAGTATCCTTGCACGTGAACTCGTGGAAATGGAGCCTAGCACGAGCGAGGAGCGAGTCGCGTGCAGGAGCGTTGCTGCCGGCAAAAGGCACTGAGAAGGCCCGCGCTGCCGCCGACCACTACATGCAGCCCTCAATCTAGACTGTGCAAGGCTCCCACGTCCAAGACGATCAATGACGTTACCCCAGCTGCACAGTGATCAAGACGAATGTAGGATTAGAGCAGCAGACAGCCGCTTATTTCAGTCCACAACAGCTTGACTCATGGTCTTGAAGCAGTCTTACCTCACACGGGGTTTGCAGTTTCAATTAACGGGGAAATTGTTTCAGAAATTGCGTCACCAACCCATCCTATATGAAGAATATAATCTGATACATGAGGTAGCCCAAGTTTATGATTATGACAGACAGAAAACCCATTCATCTCTGATCGCGGTTGGGTAGCCTAGCAGTTATAATGTGTTTGCTCGTCATGCCGAGCACCTAAAACAGTATATATAAGGATTCTACAAAATCTTCAGCACCCGTAAATTCGCAATAACTATCATCCGAAAGCAAAATATTTTAGCGTTTTCCAGCAGGAGTACACTACCTATTCTTGATGAAACAGGTAGAGTGTGAGCCCGGGCACTAGTCAGGAAATACCGATTCTCAAAGCTACCTTACTCTCACTATCAGCTGATGCCACAAATGCCACAAGTCCGGATCCAGCTGGCTTCTATAGACAAGAAGATAAGAGAAATTGCGGTATCGATCTGGGTAGTGACTGTTTTTCCCGCCCTGCGCAAAGGTCAGAGCGGGAATGTGCAAAATGGCCCGAAACTTAATATTGTTACTGTGTAATTGCCTGTGCCTGATGCACGTGAAATATGTGTCCTCTGATGAGGACGCCAAACTCTGTTGCGAGTATGTTGTAACAATGCATGATATTTTAGTTGTGCCTGGGTATTCCACGTCTAATATGGAAATTTGGAAATGCCAGGATCAAACCATAATTCCAAGAAAGCAAATTTCACGGAAGCATCGCCATGGAAGTTCGTATTTATAGTAGCCAAATATTATATTGTTCATTGTGATGTGTTTGTTTGTTGGAAAACGCATCGCTCAGCAATATTCCATCTGTTTGATGGCGGCTCAATGAACATCATAAGGTCCATCGGTCTACGTAATAGGGATATGATGACGTGCCTCAACCAAGTCAGTGAGTCCGATCACCTGATACTGCAAGTCGCCACGTACTTTGTGTACTTGTTACCCGTGAAGATCCGGGTTAGAATTGATGTTCAGTAACCCATGCTTGTCCTAAGAGCCGATAACGGGATCGGTGGTCAGGCTCGCTGACTTGGTTGACACATGTCATCGTGTCCCAATTGCGTAGATCGATGCTCATGCTGTCGAGCATTGTATTGTCTGGTCCAGACTCGATTATTTACAGAACGCCGCCATATAGCTCGAATATTGCTGAGTGCGGCGTAAAACTAAACTCACTCACTTGTAAATGTGGCAGTATGTTTTGGACGAAAGACACAACAGAAATCGACTACAACTGTCAATCTTACTGCTACTTTCATGATGTCTTATGAACACAATGAGAGAAAAGAGCTTGCCATCTGGCAACGTGAATTTGTTTCACCTTAAATGAGGCCAGTCGATCAGATATGCATGTTATTTGAAAGGAAAATTAAGAATATTATTAATGCGATGAGAGAGGAGGCGTATGAGGAATTTGCTCATTTCTGTATCCGGACTTTTGTCCTTTTCAAACACCCAAAGTGCGAGATAATTTCAAAACGTGTCACAGATTCCAGGTCGACTCAAATTGTTTGTCTTGTGTCTTGAACTCCGCTGGTGGCAGATGTGTTCCCGCCAAAATAGCAATCATCTTCTTAAAGTGTCAAACCAAAAAATTAGTTTCATGAATTCCAAGTGTACTATGATTGCAATGTTTGTTCAGGATCTCCTCCATGAATAATTTATTGAAAAGCAGCTCTTCAATCCTGAGATATTATACCACAGATATGTTCTCAACGTCTTTCTACAGTCTGGTTAACCGTTCGGTTGCACTTCCTGCTCGGTCTCTGTTTATGCTGCGTCAAATATCACAGGTGCAGAGTCAGAAACTTGGTATGATATCCAATCAGTTATGTTCCTTCGCGCCTTCTAATGAACAAATATTTCGTGTACACGGCAGTTTTGAGCAGTAGGACTGTAAGGTTAATCTGACATTAAATCATTAAGCTATATATATATTACTGATGTGTAGCCTAGCGGTGGGGTAGCCAGGTGGTTAAAGCGTTCGCTCGTCGCACTGAAGACCCGGGTTCGATTCCCTACATGGGTACAATGTGTGAAGCCCATTTATGGTGTTCCGCGCCGTGATATTGCTGAAATTTTGCTAAAAGCAGCGTAAAACCATACTCACTCAATGATGTGTGCATACTCGTCTGGTTTCCAATCGTTCACACGTATCACGAAAGGGACAGGCACTGCAATAGACAGGTCCAAATCTGTACTTGAGTAGCGCCAGCATAGTGGGATGTAGCTGTTGATATATTTGTGCTAACTAGGGCATATCTACTCTGATATCTGTGTACTACCATCAATACAACTAAGTCAAATGCACCCGTGAAGATCCGGGTTAGAACTGATCTTCAGTAACCCATGCTTGTCGTAAAAGGCGACTAAACGCGATCGGGTGGTCAGGCTCGTTGACTATGTTGACATATGTCATTGGTTCCCGAATGCGTTAATCGATGCTCATGCTGTTGGTCACTGGATTGTCTGGTCCAGACTCGATTATTTACAGACCGCCGCCATATATCTGGAAGATTGCTGAGTGCGGCGTAAAACCAAACTCACCCACTCACTAATTGATCTGGGACCCGTCCCTCAAAGCGATCTTAGCGCTAAGGTGATCGCAACTCCAATACGTTAACATAGGCTTTCGGTCATCGTACCGCTAAGATGGATTTGTGGAACGGGTCTCTGGATATCTCATTCCATCAGCGATATCTGAAGAGCGACATGAACAAGCACTGAACAGCTAGTGCTAAAAGTTTAGGCGTTATTACTACATGTACATATTCTAATAATCACACTCCTTTGGTGTAACCGCCTCCGTGGTGTAGTGGTTAGAGCGTCCGCCCAAGAGCGGAAGGTCGCGGGTTCGATCCCCGACCGCGTCATACCAAAAGACGTTAAAATATGGTACTTGTTGGTCCCTGCCTGGCGCTCGGCATTAATGGGTACAACAAGGACTGGTCGGCTCGGACTCAGTATAATGTGTCTGGTGGGGCATTCATGCTTCACTGCGGCATGGTATCTCAGTGGGCTAGCACTATAAAACCAGCTTAAGTCTGGGCTAGTACAAACAGTCGCATACATATTACGACACGCATGCACGTCGTCATATGAGCGAAATATTCTCAAATCGACGTAAAACCCAATTTCACCTCACCTCACCTCCTTTGGTTTTAAAACGCTCCATTAGAAAAGTGAGTGAATTGGGTTTTACGCTGCTTTTAGCAATATCACGGCAGGGGGACACATGAAATGGGCTGCACGCATTTTCATCTAGGTAATCGAACCAGGGTCTTTGGCGTCACGAGCGAACGCATTAACCACTAGGCTACCACAACACCCTTAGGAATGGAGAGGAGTTGGTTATCAAGCATTCATTCGTATAGAAGGCCTCGAGATTTGATGATAACGTTGCTATAATTAAGCATAGGCACCACACATACCTGATTGAAAAACACACAGCTCATTTTGTCAACTTCAGATGATCTATCTCGCTGATAAATTTGGGATTTGCTTGTTATTGGCAGAACTCTGGATTTATCTCGAGAAAATGTAAAATTAGTTTGACCGAGTCATTGATGATAAGGTGTTTACGGGTGAAGTTTAGGATGAAAGGTGAACAGCTGGCCCGCTAATGGTACGTGGAAGTTAAGTCATATACATAGCCGTATATACAGATAAAGGTCTTACGTTTTAAATGTGTTTGTATAACTGAACTATATCGAATAGCGTTTTGAATTTGACCCTTGTTAAAATTGTTGAGACGCTGTCCGTCAGTTTGTAAATTTCCTGATATCACAATTTATATAGTTTCTCACAACGTCAAATTCCCAACATATTGCAGTTATAAGTTCAATTCTGTACACCATCATTACTTTGCAGTGCTTGCGCAAACTGTTAGCAGTTCTGTGGTTGTTTGCGGACGTGATCGCTGACGTTGATCAAGAGGGTCCCGGAAAAATTGCTCAGTGGGGTTTAGATCTGGAGACCTTGAGGGTCATGGCAGGTACTTGGATGTTGTGGTTCCTCAAAAGCGGCCGTTGTCAGTCTTACAGTGTGAGGAAGTTGTGTTGTCGTCTTGAAAATTGACGTTTTAGTTTGTTGCGCTAATACACAGACAAGACCCAGACCAAAGAATATCTATCCATGTGCTTAGAAGTTGCTCCTGGGCAAAATTTACCAAGTACAATTTCCACCGGTATGGAAGATTCACCAGCTGTTACTGTTGAGTGCGGCGTTAAACGACAACAACAACAAACCAGTATTCAGATGTCGGCCCATCATTGGCTAATAATAGTAATCTCCACATTGCATGCAGCTTCTATATTGACGTTCCCGGTTCAGGTAAACTCGACGTCTTCCGGTTCATACGAAAATGTAAAAACGTGTCGTCACTAGTCCAACTATGTCCCCGTAGGACTATATACCATGTGTCCTGGACATACCATTCACGTCGTGACCTCCGTGGTGTAGTAGTTAGAGCGTCCGCCCGGAGAGTGGAAGGTCGCAGGTTCGATCCACGACCGAGTCATACCAACAGACGTTAAAATATATGGTACCTGTTGGTTCCCTGCCTGGCGCTCGGCATTAATGGGTACAACAAAAGGACTGGTCGGCTCGGAGTCAGAATACTGTGTCTGAGTGGGTAGTCATGCTTCACTGCGGCATGGTATCTCAGTGGGCTAGCACTATAAAACCAAACTTCAGTTTGGGCTAGTACAAGCAGCCGCATTATACACATACACACGCATGCACGTCGTCATATGAGCGAAATATTCTCAGGCAACGACGTTAAACCCAATTCACGTTGTAGGCGACTCTGGCAATCCAGTCAAAATGACGCGTCTCAGCGTGTGAACG